CAGAATGGTGGTATTTGGAGAATACGAGTGCAGTGGCAGGGGAGCAAACAGAACAGGGAGAGTACCTTATTCTAAAGAGCTGAGTTTTGAGGAGGCAGTGCCATATCTTAATACATCATTCATAAGTGGGGATCTTTGGCTAAGGCTTTAATTGTAACAATTTGTTATGTTTCAATCATTCCTTCTCATGTACATTCAAATGCACAAGAAAATAAATGGCTCCCCAGGTTCTGTAGTTGGAGAGTTGACTAGAAAAATATTCATGTAATATTTAGTTTTTTCAATTTCTCAAGTGTAAGTGTAAGGCTATGTTTGTTTATAAATAAACTCAATTTATACTGGTACTTAAAATCTAACTTATTTTTAATTCAATTCAATTATCCTTATTATTATTAATACAATTCAATAATATCAATCAATTATTTTTATACATCACATCAGCTTTAATGTACTATTAATCACTCATATAATTTTAACTAACAATCACTTCGAATCATCTCTCTCCTCCTACTTTTACATCAAATCAACATTAGGCAAGGTGACCCCCTATTACCTTTCCTTTTTGTGATTTGTATGGAGTACCTTTCTCCGCTTATTAAAAGCAACACGGCGGTCAGCACAAACTTCAACTACAATCCGATGTGCGAGCAATTAAAAATCTCGCATCTTGCCTTCGTCGATCACCTCATGCTTCTCTCTCGTGAAGATCCCCCGTCAATCCAAATTCTCATGAATTGCCTTAAGGATTTTGGAGCTAAGACGGGGCTTGAGATGAATGTGCTAAAGTCCAATATCTACTTGGCCGGAGTCAAGGACGATAGTCGAGCTATAATCCTAAAAATACCAACTTGCGGTGTGGCTCAATGACCTTTCGGTATCTCGGCGTCCCCCTCTCCGCGGACCGAATCACTGGTAGGCTCTTCGATGATATGATTGAGCAAATCGAAGGGAAACTTAGTGGGTGGAATGGGCATACCCTTTCCTATGTCGGAAGATTGGAACTCCTTAGCTCGGTAATCCAAGGCATTGTGTGATTTTGGATGGAGATCTTCCACTTGTCCGACATAATTAGAACGAAAGTCACCCAACTATGTAGAAGGTTCCTTTGGGGATCGAAGAGCGCTCCCATGGCTTGGGATAACTTATGCTTATTGTGCTTGGAAGGTGGTTTGGGGCTTAGGGATTTGAATGCGTGGAACCAAACGTTGCTCACCCTGACACTTTGGAACATGCAAGCAAAGAAGGACACCTTGTGGCACAAATGGATTCACAATATTTCTTTGAAGGGGAACTCCATTTGGGATTGGGAAGTTAGACCGAAGGACTCACCTCTCTTCCAAACCCTCTTTGAGATCCGGAAGTCTTAGTTGAAAAGGCGGGGAGTGAGCGTGGTGCGGAAGCCTTTCTTCAAGGGTGAAAATCTCGAGAAGGTCAAGATGGAACTAGTAAGTGCTACGACTTCTTAAGACCTGGAGGAACTATGGTGCCGTGAATGGGGTAGTTTGGGGCCCGTATAATACTCCCAAGCACTCCTTCATCCTTTGGTTAGGGGTCCTTAATTGGCTCTGGACAAGAGATCGACTCGATTTCCTTGAGGAAGATCCGATATGCCCTCTTTGTGGAGTTGCGAAAGAATCTTCGAGCCACTTATTCTTTGAATGTACCTTTAGCTCGGAGATTTGGGAGGAGATTCGTACTTGGGTTAGCCTCCAGCATAGGCCGTCCACACTCAAGGGAGCTCTCAAATGGATCAAGAAGGAGGCGGGTGGGAGTGGTTGGCAAACCAAGTTGAAGAAAGAGGCGCTAGCGGCTACCGTGTGCTTTATTTGGAATGCTAGAAATCGGTTGGTGTTTGAGAATGAATACCAAGGCCCGAGTCTTGTAATCCGCAAGGTAAAAACCCATATTTATCGAACTATTTTTGCAACTTATCCGAATGTGCATGTTGAATTTGAGAGGAGGAGTCTTGGGCTTTAAGAGTCATTTTTGGTGCTTGATTGTTGAGGTTTTGAGGTGGCCGGAAGGCCTTGGAGATTGTTTGTTTGGGAGGGGGAAGGTTTCCCCGGGCGTGGCTCTTCCCAGGTGCTAGCGCCGCTAAGGAAGGGCCTAGCGTCGCTAGTAGGAGGCCCAGCGCCGCTATGCGGCTTAGCGAGGAGGTAGCGCAGATGCGGGTGCTCAGCTCCAGGTACTAGCGCCGCTAGCGTTCAAAGCCTAGCGCTGTTAGGTGCCCTAGCGACCAACTGAGGCTGCAGCACCTGTGAGACTAGCGCCGCTAGCGTCGGATAGCGCCACTAACCGCGACTTGTCCAGCACGCACCACGTCAACACTAGCGCCGCTAGCCCCGACTCGTCCTGTGCCACGACATCACTAGCGCCGCTAGCTCTAGCCTAGCGGCTAGCCCCGACTTTCAGCATATTTGTTTTGGCGTATGACCCGACCACGTCACCCATAGCGGCGCTACCCCCTCGGCCTAGCGCCGCTAGACCCGACACCAGCGAGGCTTCATGAGAGTGGGCCTTACACGTGTGCGTACCGACATGACGACTACCGAGCGGACGAAATGCCGAGCTCGGGGGACTCGTTTGCATTTCCTTGCATTTTGTTTCTAGTGACTTTTGAGTGACCAACCGACTTGTGGTTGGCCTCGTATATCTTTATCTTGAGAATGAGGAGCCAACTTGTGGTTTCCCATTACGCTTTTGTATGTCGTTGACCGGTTGTCCGAACTAGTTTTGATCTATATATTTACATTTACATTTAGCGATAAAAAAAAAAAGTTTAGTTATTGTATTTAAATATTATTTTAATATAAACTCAAAATTACATGAACAACTAATCATATCACATTTTTTAAAATTAGTTATGGTTAACTAAAAAGTTCATTTTGAATGGATATATTTATTTCAAACCAAGTCCTAAAACATTCAATCAGTATCCTTTCCATTTACCTATTCTCTCTCTCTCTCTCTCTCTCATAAATAATTGCTTATTTCATACTCCCTCCGTTCAGAAATAATTGTCGTTTGAGTGTGTACTTCTTTTTTCATATTAATTATCGTTTAGATAACTATCAATTAATTAGTTTGATAAAATCCTAAAATCCTAAAATTTCGAAGGTTGTTTAGTTAATGCTTGTTACTGTAGTATTTTTTTAATTATTCGTATCCTTATCTATAAGCTCTCTAACTTCATTCCCAACATGAAAGCACTTTTTTTCTTCTTCTTCAGATAATCACCCNAAATTTTATTTACCCGCCGATACAATTGCAATGGAGATTTTTATATCCCCTATTTTCCATTCTTTTAGAATTTTGTTATATTCTCCTCCAATCTTAATTTATATACAGAGTATGAACATGTTAATTGTAATGATCCTAAAAACATTACAAATGGAGTTGTGAAAGAAGAAGATGGTAAATTGAAGGCATGTGAAGGTATATTTGTGAAGATGGAAGAACAAGAATCAAAAAAGGTACTGTTCTTAATATGGAAGACAAAGAATCAAAAAATATCAATCTTCCTGGTGATTATGAGTTTGATTTAAACAAGTTATACTATGATGAAGGAGAGCTCCATGCCAATCCAGAGATTCAGAAAGTAATACTTTCAATGTTGAAGATGTTTCTCCAAATTATTTTTGGGTGTGGATATTGAGTTTGTAATTGAAGTTGTTTAGTTTTCTCATGTAGCATAAAATTTATTTTTTGGTGAATATTGGTTTATTGGAAAATATTGGTTTACTGAATGCATAATGTTGAGGATATGCATTGTGAATTGGTGATTCTGTCTTGAGTAGTTAATATGATGTTGGATTACATTTATGAAACTCTCGTGGTAATACAAAATAATCATAAAGAACCATTCCATCCCCACGATTTCCACTTAAGCTTTCACTGTATACAATATAAGGATGATATATGGAGCCATCAGGTTTAGTATGACTTGAGAAGGTTGTTCTCGGACAACAAGAACGAGAGTCGGGTGCATAAACTACTCGAAAAATCATGCATTCATCATGACAGACTTTGTCAGCTCAATTCTGAGGAGAGTTGGTGCCTCCTTCGGGAGAGGGTGTTTGGCGATAGGGAGTCCCCATCCACAATCGCATCGTCAAACGCCGCCAGCAGATCTGCCGTCTGGTACTCGTCCTTATAGGCCGCCACGTGGGTAGACGGGACACCTCCCCTTGCAGACGGGACCCCTGGACGTGGTTATATGTGGCCGTCGATGTCGTGTGGGACCCGTGCCCGATCAGGTCCCTTGCCGACTCGTCAGTGTAGTAGTGAGCAACGTTGATTAATTGCTGATTATAAATATATATTGTTTTCTATCTTTTTTGGAGTATGAAATGAGAGTGTGAGTGTGAGTGTGTACTTGTTGCAAGGAAGTTGATTCTGCCATTGCAAGCTCTTTTCCATTTGTTGGGAGGAGGTCCGAAGCCGCTTTCGTTGGACGCCGGCCAAATTCCGCTGTCGATCATGCCCACAATCGTGTCTCTCTTGACTGTCGGGTTCCGGCCGATGTTTTCGGGGAATCACATGAAATCCAAACATCTTGTGGTGTGAAGATGGTAAGTTATGCTAGGGAATATTGATAGGACTTGCTCATTACCTGAGTTAAGCATTGCCAGTTAGTTTTAATTTGAAATAACATTTTGATTAGGGAAAATGAGATTTACTAGCCAACTTATCGTGCTCTTGAGAAGTGAGGAAGGCTGGGAATCCGTTGAAACTTCTCGTGTAATTTCTAACATGTGATTGCTTCAGAAATCTGTTCACATAACATTAATTTATAAAATGAAATGATCAAATCAATTGTTTTAACATATAAATATATACAGGATTAAATACTGTTTGAAGCATCTTGAAATGAAATGAGGAATCTGATTCATGAATTTGAGCAGAAGTTCCCATGCACAATATGTAAACCTGTTTCCAAACGAAAAATAAAGAGAGACAGAGTAATATGACTATCAACTTTGAAGGTTAAAAAAAAAACCCGGAAAGTTCCCACTGTTTGAAACTTTGAAGGTTAAAAAAACCATCCTTCAAAAGCTTTACGCCTTCAACATTTCATATTCATTCACTGTAAACAAGCCATAACCAAAAAATTACTGTAAAGATAACAAAGGAAAAAAGAGCCATATACTCAACTCAAGCATATGAACAAATGAGTACTAAAGGTTTATCATTATTACATTTGCAAATCAATTCTAAATATTATGCTAGCATATGGATTACACTTTGGACAAGGCTCAAATTACAAGTAATTTGTTTAGGAAGACGACCTTCCTTTTCCAATCCGGCCTTATTCATGTGTGGGATCTTATACTTGTTGGAGCCTCCTACTTTCATTATTTCTCGCATGCATAGCTG